AAAAAAGATGAAAACATTTGCAGATATTTTTACTGGTCTTCCTTTATAAATATGCATTTCTTTAAACATAATTTAAAAGCAGTGTAAGGGAAGTAACCAAAACGTTGTATTTGGATTACCTCCCTTACACTGTTTTAGATTATCTTTATTGTTCATTAACCATTACTTTATACATAATTTAAAAGCAGTGTAAGGGAGATAATTTCAATGATGTATTTGATTTATCTCCCTTACACTGCTTTAAATTATGTTTTGTACTAAAGTATTTGTCCATTAACCAGGACAACCTTGTTTTTCCCCCTTTTTTGCCCCTAATTCCTAAACGGTTTGAGCCATAACCCCCCAAAGCAAATCCTAACCATCCCTTTGTGGTATGGAAACTTGTAGTATAATTTCAGAGAGATCCATACACCGTTCCACAGTTATTGTCTGGAAACTAGAAAATGCTCATTTTTGGCCCCTTTTTGGCCCCTAATTCCTTAACTGTTGGTACCATAACCCCCAAAATCAATCCCAACCTTCCTTTTGTGGTATTTAACCTTATGGTCAAATTTCAAAAAGATCCATTCACTTAAACTAAAGTTAGAGTGCGAAAACCAATATGTATTCGGACGACGACGCCGGACGACAAAGACGCCGGACGACGACGACGACGACGACGACGACGACGCCAACGTCATACCAATATACGACCACAAAATTTTTTTGCGGTCGTATAAAAACTGTATTTAACCATATAGACGTAGTCAATATGAAAATCTTACTTCTAAATACTCAATCTTTTAAAACAGCAACTGGACTCAAAGAAATTTGTGAAAAATATAACATTGACATCCTATGTATAAACGAATCATTTGAATCCGAAAAAAATCCACTCTTTTGGTGATTGGAAACCTATTACCTCACCTAGACCAAACAAAGCAAGGGCAGGATCTGCAATATTTTTAAAGCCAAGCATTCATTTCATAGGACAAAGACAGGACCATTTTGAATTAAAAGAAATTGAAATGGTCAGTATTGAATTAAAGACAGCAAAAATAAAACATTTCATCTTTGGGTACCTTACATACCACCAGATAAACCCGAGTTAATGAAAAAGCTTTGTACACATATTCAACAACAAAATTTGAACAATTTAATATTGGTAGGTGATCTAAATGCTAAATCCTTTGATGGAACAATACTCATGATACTGTAGAAAATAAACATGGAGAGCTTCTAGAACATTGTATGACAACAGCAAAGTAATATGTGTTAATGATGGACAGGCTACAAGAAGAGCAAGCAATTCTGTAATTGACTTATTTCTAGTTTCCAGGCAACTATTTAATGATGTAAAAACTTGTATAACATTAACTCATGAAAAGGTACAATCAGACCATATTGCAGTATTGTTAGATGTTAATGCGGGAAATCCTCATGAAGAGAATACATCAGAACAAGAATATTGGAATATAAAAAAATGTGATTGGAACGCATGGAAAGAAACAACAAAAGAATCATTTTCAAAATTATCCTTTCCTCAAAATGAAGATATAGAAAATAACTACAGCCGATTTGAAGAATCTTTAACAAATTGTATGACAAAATGCATTCCCTTAGTCAAACCAAAGAAAAAAACAAAAATACAACACCCTCCATGGTGGAATGATGATATTAGAGAAATAAACGGAAAACTAAACAAAGCCCAAAAGAAATTTAAATTAAAAAGTACACCAGAAAATTTTGAATATGTTGTAGAAGCAGAAAATGAATTTGAGATGACAAAAAAAGATGCCCAAAATAAATGGTCTGAAGACTTGTGTGAAAAAATTGGAGAGGCAAAATCTTTAAGGGAAAAATGGTCAAATTTTAAAAAACTAACTAAAAAGAAATCTGAAAATTTAGTACATCCATTGCAAGAAAATGATGGAAATATTCTTTTCACTGAATCAGAAAAATCAAACATCCTTAAAAACACCTTCTTTGAAGGTTATCATTTAAAGGCAAATGAGTTTAATCAACAATTCTATGATGACATCACACAGCAATACATCAACATTAGTACTTCTAATCAAAAAGAAAATACAGATAACATCAAGTACAATGGTTATTTTACCATGGAAGAGTTGGAAGGATCCATCTTTAAATTAAAAAAAGAATCAGCTCCAGGTCCAGACTTCTTCTTTAAAGAACTTTTCATCAATGGTGGAAGCCAATTAAAATCCAAACTTTTAGAAATCATTAACCAGTTATGGGAAGAAGGAATTATTCCTTTAAATTGGAGAAGAGCAAATATCAAATTTATAAAAAAATTATATAAACCAAATTACAATTTACCATCATCTTACAGACCTATCAGCTTAACTAGTGTAGTGGCAAAATTAATGGAAAGAATTATAACGTATAGATTAGAAGGATTTGTAGAAATGAACAACATCATGGACCAAGAGCAAGAAGGTTTCCGACATTTTAGAGGTACAACAAATGCCTTATTATCTTTAACACAAGCTATTTTTGATGGATTTAACAAAGACAAAACCACTATTGTAATTTTTATCGATTTTGAAAAAGCTTATGACAGCGTTTGGAGAGAGGGTCTAATGGTAAATTTGTACAACAACGGCATCAAAGGAAAAATGTGGATGTGGATAAATGCCTTCCTCAGTCACCGAGAAGCTAGATGCATGGTAAACAATTACAAAAGTCCTTGGTTTCAAACCAGTATTGGTTTACCACAAGGATCTGTTATCTCCCCAATCCTGTTTAACATCTTCATAAAAGATATTTTTAAATCCGTGTCTGCAGACTGCTGTACATTGTAAGTTTGCAGATGATGATACTATTTGGCATTCACATTCAGATCCAAAAGTTATACAAGAAAAACTGCAAAAAGACCTCAATCAAGTACTAAAATGGAGCAATGATTGGAGAATGAAACTAAGCATTCAAAAAACAGAGTACAGTATATTCAGTAAAGAAAAAAATAAAGTCCAAAATATCAAACTAAGGCTTGGTAACACAATTTTAAAAAACAACCCTAATCCGGTTACACTTGGATTAAAATTAGATGAACAATTAAATTTCAATAGTCACATAGAATCTACAGTAAAGAAAGCCAAAAGATCTTTAGGAATTATAAGAGAAATCAAGGGAATAGCATTAATACCAACCAAGACACTTATTCAAATATATGAAAGCTTAGTATGTTCAATTTTTAATTATGCTAGCAGCATTTGGCAATCCAGCACTTCTGGTCATCTTGACAAATTGAATGAAATACAGAGAAAAGGGTTAGCAATGTGTTTAGATTTACCATCTCACTCATCTCTAGAAGCATTAGAAGTACTTAGTGGAACATTACCAATAGATTTAAGAAGAGAAGAAATGGCCATCAGAGAGTTAGGAAAAATTAATTCATACAGTAATAATGTCCCAATTAAAAGAAAATTTGAAATTTGGAAAGAGGAGGAACATCCAGAAAAATTAATATCACCATTAGGAAAAATGTATCAACAAACAGAAGACATGAGAGACACAGAATTGGTTGATATAAACAATATCGAACCTCAGTATGAATACAAAGGTCTGGTATCAATTATCAGAGCCCCTGACTACTGGCGTAATATAGGCAGCTCAAAATCCAGAACAACAGCCCAAATAGAGGAAGGAAAACAAATTATCTCTGAACAACTCAAATCTCAAACTCCAAACACAGAAGTCACATTTACAGATGGGTCATGTTTGGGAAATCCAGGCCCATGCGGTGATGGAGCTATAATTTACATCAATGATCAAGAAGAAAAATTAAAAAGACCTGTCTCTAACAAAGGATCAATCTTGTTAGCTGAACTGATAGCAATAAAAATTGTACTTGATTACATAGAATCTTTTTCAAAAACACAAATTGAAACTTTAACAATATTTTCGGACAGTCAAACCACATTAGGAATCTTAACTCTAAATTGGAAAAGTGACAACTATCATCAAACCATTAACGAAATAAAAGGAAAAATAAAAAATTTAAATGAACATGGAATTTTAATCAACTTAAACTGGACACCAGGCCATGCCAACATAAAAGGAAATGATGAGGCAGACACCTTGGCAAAAGAAGCTGCTAAAGAAGCTGAAACACTAGCAGTTGATGACATAGTATTTACAAAACAAGATATAAAAAAGGCAGCTAGAAATTCCGTTACAAAAAAATGGCAACGCAGATGGGTAAACAGCAATTAATGCTGGACGTCATTATTTCAGATTTCATCCTGAAATTAAAGTAAAAAAAGACTTCCCGTCAAAAAAAATGTACAACATAATCAACAGTTTAAGAACAGGTTATTCCAAATTAAATGCATACCAATTTATAATAAACCAGCTCATTAACTCTGAAACCTGTAATCACTGCAAACAAAAAGAAAATGTACAACACTACCTTTTTGAATGTGATCTGTATTCAGATGCTTAAGATACAAATTATTTCATCAAATCTACTTCATAACAGGACATATTCCAATCGATTTAGACAATTTATTAACAATCAATTTGCCAAATGCAGAAAATATCACTCAACTTTTAGCCGAGTACATAGAGGAAACAAACCGTTTTAGTGGATAATTTAATACAATTTTTTTTTTAATTTTTCATGTCATTTCAATTATCTGATTAACCAATTTTTTTCTTTTTTTTTTTTTTAGTACATTTTTTCTTTAATATTTTTTAAAAAAGCGCCACCTACAATATCTAAGTACAAAGCAGAAACTACATTAGTGATTATAATTTTACAAGAGAGATTACCCTGTCATCACGACAAAGATTGAATACTGGGACATAATATAAATGTAATTATTATAGGTCCAATGTAAATCTGAGCATCTGAGAAAATCTTTTCTGGGGTTTCTATAGAAAATTAAGTGTTAGGTATTTCTGCCATAATTCTGGAGGAGCACACAAAAAAAAAACCTCATTTATAAAAATTTCAAAAAGGTAAGTCCCGTAAGAGCAATCCTACATAGTGCTACCTCAACCATGTATTATATGGGACTGTCAGGCTATTACTTTGTGCACTAATCAGTGTATATAACCCAACAATCATCCACCAGGTATAGTGAATGTTGATTTTGCAAAAAGGTCAAAACATAAACAAAGTGAACGAGTGGACCGTTTGAGAAGCCAGTGAAAATTCGTAAATCTTTTAATGATCAACTCCGTTAAACACAGCAATTATCAATTCCTATGTAAGTAAACAAGGTTTCATTGGATAATTTACACACAACTTTCTCCAGACGTCACAGGGAAAATACTTCACGTGGGCGGCAAACAGGAAACTGATACTAAATGTTTTTGATAGCCTTGGTTTCCAAAAACTAATAATGCGCAGAAATTATGTTATTTGCCTTTCATTTTATCCATATTGTTCTTAATACAATTAGAATATATGAAATATCTAAATGATTTGAAAATGTGTAGCATTATGCAAAAAACATTGAAATTTAAATAATACAACAATAGATTATTTTATACATAAAACGTTAAAAATATTTTATGTTCTAAAAATAATTATGAAATTAAGGGAAACCCCCTTAATATCAAAATACTTCCTGTTCAATATGGCTGCCTTAGTTCTCCCGAAACTGAAAGAAAGGATGCACGAAAAACAGAACAGATACATTTACCACCTTCCTTACAGTATAACAAGACAAATTGCTCAAAATTTAGACATCGACAATGCATGGCAACATTTAGGTTTGTGGAACAGTTATTGATATTATATGGTTAAATTACCTCTCCAATAAATTTTGCTCTTCTACTTCTACTTCTACCAATAGGCAATACGCGGCCACCATCAATAAGTTGATTATTTTGCCACTTTTTGGATGGGCATTTAAAATTTAGAAAAAAAATAAATATTGAATTGATTTGAATTTATGCTATACATCATATATACAGTGAATTTAAAAAAAAAAATGCTCATTAGACATTACTGTTATTTACGCATATGTATCCTCGTGTATTGTATTTTCGACCTACTAACATATTTCTCCGAATTTCCCTTTTATATGTTTGAACATAGACATGCCTAATATTTTGAGAGTCACTAGTATACTTGTGCATAAAATAATTGTATCTGAAATATATTCGATCTTAAATTATTTTTTTATTTGAGTTCATTAGATCGATGGCACGTTTGTTGACAAAAACTGATGTATAGGAGGTAAGATAAAGCTTGTTACAAGTTTTTATAATATTTACTTGGGCAATAACTTCTTTAACAAGTCAATTCACGATTGTGGTTATGTTGACTAATTGTAGATGCAGATGATGTTCACTTGAACTTGTTTCTCTCTATCTACTTTAGTTTTCAAGATACATTCCAAAAACTCAAATAGCAAAACCGCCTATAAGAAACAAAAATCATAGTATTGAAGTTATGTGATTGAATATTATCCCTACCTACTTATAATGTCTTTATTATCAATTAAATTTATCTGTTTTTGACAATATATAATTGTTTCTTTTGAAACATCTCAACTTCATGGTTTTGACTATATTTCAATAAGTTCAATTACTTTTGGGCATTAGACATGTGAGAGATACTCTTCTTCCATCTTTTTTCTTATTTACACTGTTGCACTGCCATGTTTTTATGGGTTTGTCATTTGATAACTACATTCACAGAAAAATAACAGTAATTACCAAAATTTAGATATTTGACACCTGTCCACATGGTACGAACACAGGGACTCAGCAGATTAAAATTTGTTAAGCAATGTTTTAAAAAAAATTTTGCATTTCCTTTAGAACTATTTGTATTAGTCACTATTACTACATTATTAAAATATTTTAGGTTGTTGATGCCAACGTTAAATATGTTAATAATATGATACAAAAATAAAGGAACTACAAAATTTTAATCTGCTTAACGAGTCTCTGACTGGGTACGAAGAACAAACAATGGCCTGTGCCTCATCTGTCATTTGTTTTAAAAACACTTGGCAATACACGGTTAGTAGTGGTATAACGTCCCTATAAAAAAATGACACAGTGTTGAGGGAAAATCTGAAAGGTTTCAACAGACGAAGAAATTGATGATGAACGATTGAAATAAATTCATAAAACACCTTTAAAGCTATAAACAAGTTGTTATTTTTGGCATTTTTTTTTTATAGACCAATGGAAGTAGGTTCTTGATACTAAAGGTATTGAAGACTTGATCACTTTGATAGGCCACTAGTCTAAATACCACATGTTAAGATAGTCAGTAAGACAAATTCGTTACACAGTGTGCTAGTGACCTAATACGATATATATGGGGTCAGTAAATTCCATATGGGGATTTACTGACCCCATATATATCCTATTAGGTCACTAGCACACTATCATGACTATGTACAAATGTAACTAATAATATTGCCATTTTTGTGGTTGAAGTTATTTACTTGATTTTTTTAAAGAACCATGTACAGAGCAAAAATGATCAGCAAGATACGTCAACATCATCGACATTGTCAAGTTACTCCTTACACATGTTAAAAGTTTTTACTCTTAAATGTTGAGTTTTCACTCCTGTTTGGCTATTTTCTCCCAATTGAAATATTTCTCCCAGATTATGATAGAGAAAAACTGCAAGAATGTTCAGTAGATATGATCTACAAATAAATAAAATAAAGGAAATTGACAATTGATTCCTTACAGAACTTTAATATAATAATTACTACCTTACATGATTATTTTAACCACATTTCTGTATTTTGGCAATTATTTGGAAAATAAAATACATGGAGAAGATTAGCTAGCTTGTTAACGATCTACATTAAGTAATGTATTAACAAAATGTAAACAATTCACATGAGAAAATCAACAGCTGCTGGGTGTGTGGTGAGCTGCAGAGTGCCAGTAGCTTATTTTTGCTTTGCATATGTTTTGTTTTATATGGCAAATGTAATATGTAAGACCAAATTTATTCAAAAATAGTATTTGATATTGTTCATTTCCAATTTTGATCCAAAGTTCCCAGTGTAGAGCAAAATTTGGAAATATTGGATTACAGTTTGTCAAAAATGATGTTTATATACCCTATGATGAAAGGAGAAGGGCATAATGGTCCAATTTGGTCTTGAAATATGAAAATATAAACTTCTTGAATGCACAGAAGGTGATGAAGTAAACAGGAATTAAGAAATGAATAAACTAGACAAGTTATTTTCAACAATATGGCAAGACGATTTAATAAAATATCATTGTTTTGTGAAAAAATGACCATCAGAACTAATTTCGACAGAATTTCATTGCACAATTGTCATTAAAAAACAACATATTTTGACGAAACACATAGGGTAATGTCATATTATCTCGTAAACACATTTTTCACATAATATGAATATGTTTCTTTGGTAACTAATGGAATTTTAAGGTTTTCTCTCAATTTCATGAAGACCACTTATCGGGTAATGTCATATCGTTGTGGAAAGCAATTGCAACTTATAACTAGACATGATGAATGATGGCAAATTTTAAGTTAAATTGTGCACTCACTATCACACATCTCATTGGAACTTTTTAAAAAGTTAATTTATAGAAAAATAAGATTCTTTTATCAATATCTGAATTCTTTCATTATATTATAATAACATCATTTTTATATATGTATATGGTCTTTGATCTCAGATTTTTTTTATATTACTTTAATTTGGAATGTACTTTACGTTAATAATCAAGCTATAAAAGACCATAAAAATTGTTAAAGAGGAAATAATTTGTGGTTCACTGATTGGTAGGGTCTATAATGTGTGAGGTGTGTGAAGGATTTTTGTGAATTGTTACATGTGATTGAAATTATACAGGGCCACAAATTTAAGCTGAAAAATAGAACAGAGGAAAATATTAAGTATTAAGAAAAATGATATTTCAAAATGATTTTGTTGGTTTGATGCCTGTTTTACATGTGTTGAAAATCAGATGCAAGAATTGAAATGAAAACTTGTTATAGATCTTATGTCTGTCAAATAAAATGGATCAATGCACTGGCTAACAGATTTCTTTATATACTTTGAAGTCCATAAATACATGAAATAAAGCATCAGCAATGTTTTTGAGCTTATTTTGACAAAATTTTCAAAATGACTTCTAATAACTAAACATTATTTCCAAATTTTGCTTTAATATAAATTTTTGAAACATAAACAAAAATCACATTTTGATTTTCTGCCTAAATTGTAGCAAATGCTCCTTTAACATGTTTTAGGCAGTTTGACTATGGGTAACAACACACAGTTTATACAATGTCACTCAGAGCATTAAAATTATTTTCCTGTTGTAAGGAAAAGTAACAAATATGATTTCAGGGTTTACTCCTAGTTTGCCCACATTTAATTATACCAATTATCTATTAGTAAAGAAAACAAAAAAGACAAAAGGTTTAATAAGCATACAATTCTATAGTCTGTTCTAACTCTATATGTACAAAAATGTATATTAGTTTATATGTGTCTTCTATTATATTCAAGTATTTTTCATTTTGTAGTTCCATTTTTATTTGTATACTAGTAGATAAATAATCAAGAAATCAAATATTTTGTTTCTCAATAATTTAATATCAATTCAATTGATTCATTTAACATGACTTAGCTGCGGAACCGTAGCTCTAATGTCCTTTTGATATTTTTTGACAATTTGCGGTCCGCAAAATTCAAAAAATATAATAAGGACCATAAGAGTTACGGTTCCGCAGCTAAACATGACTGTGACAAAACAATGACATTCATTTATAACAGTGTCTTAATAATTCAGCAGTTTCTAAATGATTATGATATAAATACACCAATATATGATACAGTTTTCTTTTATTGCAAACATAATTTATATAATTTATGAATCAAATCTATACATGCATTTCATAAGGAAATAAATAAAGCACTATAAAAGTTACAAAACATAAGATTTACAAAGGTCTTTAGTAACTCGATGCTCTAGTAGATGTTTGGAAGGTCTATAGTAACTCGATGCTCTAGTAGATGTTGGGGTTGTCAAGTTGGTCAGTCTCTTCTTAATTTTTGTGTGCTATCCTTCCAGGTGGCTGGTGGTGCAGGGTCCTTCTGTAAAGTAGTGGTTCCATAAAAAGCGGTATCCTTCATCCCAAAATTCTTGTTACGTAGATGTTTTAGCGGGTATGTTGTCAGCTGCACCAATGTTTTCTAAATTGGAACGAGAGGTAATACTGCGGCTCGGTGTATAAGTCGAGTGATGTCTTCCTTTTTTTATAGTATGACTGTAGTTCACATTTCTGTGCCTTTCGCCAAATACAATGGGTAAAGTGGAAGAATCAGCCTTTCACGGTTACCCCTGGGTACACTGTCCGTGCTTCGGTGTTGGTTGCTGTCTCGTAATCGATAAATAGTGTTTCTGGTTGAAGTTGTAACTAATGTAGTTGAGCGATGTAATGTATATGGCTGAAGAAGCATGACATATTAAATGACACATATTTAATTCTTAGTTTCCTTATTTTATTTTATCATATTTTTTTTCTGGAGATACCAATAATTTAAAAAATTTGCCGATAGTTTGTCAAAATAATAAACATTTTTATATTCTATTTTTTAATATTTCAGTGTCAATTCAATACATTTTTCTGGTAAATTAAAAACAATTGTCTTTCATTTGTCAAATTAAGAAACCCTTTTGCATATTTTCTTTTAATATTTGTTAAATTCAATCTATTTTCATGGTAAATATATATTATTTTTGCA